TTTGTTTTTCTTTGCGGAGTCTCGAGAGCAACCTGATCCTGTTTCTGCTACGGATGCCACGCTTGGATGGCATATTTCATGCGCGATGGCAATTTGGCGTTAAGTGCTTGTGGGAAGATTGAGGAGTCGAAACTACGGAACACATTGCGAAGAAAGCCAATGTCTTGCTTACCGGCTCTCGACGCCTTTTCTGTACGCTTTGAATATCCGAGGTTGCCCTATACCAATAAACTTAAGTCACGCTCTTTAGAAACGTTCTGCAAGGTGTAGTCTCCAAGCATGTAAACCCTCAGCGGGTGATGACACAGGTGGATCGCCTTGCACTTGGCTGGGTTGAATTGGATTCAGTTCCTCGTTGACCACTCATGAACGTAATCCAGGTAACGTTGCAGGAGATCGTGACCTACCTTGTTATTAATCGTTCGCCATGTTTTAATGTCACGGTGAAAAGCAGAAAATTAGCCGAAATAGCTCTTGTCAGATCATTCATAAACACCAGGAATAGGCGCGGTCCTAGCACCGAGCCCTGTGGAATACCACATTCCACCTCAAGCGGTTCTGAGAGCGATCATCTAACATACACTTTAAGCCTCCATTGCCGAGGATAGTTAGTCCTCCACGCAAGGACACTATCTCCCATTCGTAGCTCTGTAACCTGTGAAGTAGGATGCGGTAATCCAGGTGGTCGAAATAATTAGAGAATTTCAGGTAGTTGACGTCAATTCCGGCCCCATCATCTGACACTTCCGTCCAACCACCTCGTGCCATCAGCAAATTGGTGGTGCATATGCTCCCTACATATGGCTATATCAATAACAGAGATGTCCGTACGACTGGACTGCAAATGCTAAAGCTACTTCAATGAGAAAGTCGTATCGTACCGTACATGAAGTCCATATGATCATCATCATACACGTTAGCTAGAGGTGGGAAACACCTCAGCTACTGTGCCGCAATACATAGAATAAAGGAGCAACAAAATACAACTGGTGCAAGCCGGCTGAGCTACCGGTAACGGATGGGCATCGTTCCGGTAAGCTACCAGCTGGCTGTTGTGCACCAAAAACATTACTATGCAAAATTATATAAGGCTAAATAATGAGATCGTGGTTGGAGGGGGAGGCTAAGAGGGATGGGGTGTGACAAAGAAACTCATAGCACGAACGCCACTGAGGTCGGCTCCTAGACATATCAACAAGTGTCTCCAGCCAAACTTGTTCATCGTCTTTCGGACCCCAACCAGGGAGCCGAGACGCTCCAACGGAGGCCAGCTCAGAAGTGAGGGCTTCCATTCTTCTCGACCAAGTCATCGCTTGGCCACCCCTCTTCTTCTTCCATCCACACACCTTGGGTGCAAACAACGCAAGTCGCGGGAGTCGGTGGGCTGGCATGCGTAACACGTGGCCGATAAAGTCCATATACGAAATAACAACCTGATTACTCAAACAGCACTACCTGCTTGTGGCTCACAAACGAACAGCCACGTTGATGATAACTTGCAGTGAACACACAATGGAATGTGTACCGTATACAGTGTTAAAGCTGCGAAACAGTTATGTGCACCGAACAAGAAAGAAGTTGTTAACAAGAATAACGGGACACTATCCTGCCTGCAAAAAGAATTATGCACCGACGAAGAAGGGTACAACTTTGGCTAGCATAAAGTAGGGCTCCCAGTAAATGGAGAAGCATACAAAATATGGGGGTTAGTTGAAGCCTGATTTTCTAAGAACTCGATAGGCCAGCGAATCGACCTCGACTGTCTCTACCAACAGCTGTCATCATCAACAGCAGTACATCAGCCATTTGAACTGATGCTTCGCTGCCATACAACCATGAGGACCTATGAAATAAAGAATAAGAAGAGGGAGAGAAGAAGGACTTACCTGAAAACCTCAATGCCCTAAGCAAACATTCAGGGTCAAGGCGCCTACACCTTGTGTTAACAACATACCGTCACAAACAGCTGGCTATCGTGCAAAGATAAGGCGGCATCGGTGAGACAGCTTCCTTGCGGCTTTCACTGCCACGCGTCATAATCAGCCATTACCCCACAGATAACTCAGCACCAAACACACTTTAAACAGGCAATCTGATTAGGAGACGGCAGCAGACGCGCCACTGGTGTCGGTTGCGAGCCATGTCCTGTAAAGTCTCGAGCCAAGCACAAGGTGAGTCACGGGGACTTCAGCCCGGAAGGTGAGACGGACCAACGGCACCCAGTTTGGTCGTCAGTGACTTTATTTGCCGTTGCCAAGTCAACTTCTGTCCGCCTCGAGCGTTGCGCCACCCTACACCTGGCAGACTAAACATGGCCCTCTTGGGTAAGCGGTGGCCAGGCATGCGTAGCACGTGCTCGAGCCAGCGCAACTTATTCAGTGCTATCTGTTGTTCTAGGGAGCTGGCATGATTATCACCACCTAGTACTCGCCTACGCACATCATCGTTGCGGACACGCTGGTGCCATCCGACACCGGCAATGCTTCGCAGACAACGATGATCAAAGACTTAAAGGCGCCTCAGATCTTCAGACCGAAGTGGCCAAATCTCACTACCATAGAGCAGAACGGCCCTCACTGTGGCATTGTATACACGGCCTTTCAGACGGTGGGAAACTCCCTTCTGTCGCCAAAGATGCCGCAGGTTCAAGAAGGCAGCTCTGGCCTTTGCAATGCGTGAGCTGACGTCAGTTTCTATGCGCCCATCATTGCTGATGCAGCTGCCAAGATAAGTGAAATGATCAACCACTTCGAGTTCCTCGTTAGCAAGAATCAAGGGGACATAAAGTGGCTGGTGGTCCTGCAGCAACACTTCGCACTTTGAAGGTGCGAAGTGCATTCCAAATAATGGGACCGCTCTGGATAGGCTATTCAGGGTTGATTGTGCCGCCCCAACATCGTCGAAAAGCAAGACGATATCGTCTGTATAATCTAAGTCAACTAACCTTTCACCAGGCAGCACTTCGACGCCTACATCATGAGATTCCGCAAGGGAACACTCCATGATAGAATCCACGACGAAATTGAACAAACATGGGGAAATCGGACAACCCTGACGAACGCCACTTGTTGTCGGAAACCTATCCGACAGGACACCGTAGACCCTGATGCGGCCTGTAGTGTTCGAGTATAGAGCACAATGGATGTTCACATATTTCGTGGGAACACCTTCGAACAGAATCGATCGATCGACCGAATCGAAGGCCCTTTTGAAATCGAGGAACACAGCTATTGTCAGTCTGCGGTATGCGTGGCGCTGCTTTAGCACCTGTCGCAAAGTGAATATGTGGTCTATACAGCCACGTCCTGGGTGGAAACCGGCCTGCTCTTCCCTAATCCGAGATTCCCGTTCTGCATTGAGGCGACGAACGATAATCGAGGCCAGTACTTTTGTCACAACTGGCGTTAGGTTAATACCCCTGTGGTTAGAACAATCTGTACGACTGCTCTTCTTGTATATTGCCACTACAATCGATTCGCTCCAATTAGCCGGGACATTTTCTTCCTTCCAGATGCATTCGAATAAGGAGGTCAGTGCTTTGCAGAGGACCTCTCCCCCATCCTTAAATAGCGCAGGTGGGAGGGAATCCGGGCCAGCGGCAGGAAAACGATTGAGGGCTGTGATCGCGTTTCGGACCTCGGCCTCTGACGGAGGCTCTAAACTACTCATGCATAGCGCGTCATGCATCACCTGAGAAGAAACAGGTCCGGGAGGAGGGGGCCAGCTGAACTGATCTTGAAAGTGTTCCACCTAACGAGCCATACGGCTGACTCATACAGCTGAGCAAGAAAAATATCCTGAGCGGACACAGCGGTTGGAAGTTGATAATCGCGTTTTAGAGTACCCGCCGTGTGTATTGGATTAAGACAAGGGTCTAGTGATTATGGTGATAACTGTCAGCCATTATGTGCCAAGTTCCACATCCAATTCAAGCTATCTCTATCTAATGAGCACAAACCAGGACGGATACAGTCCCATTGATCGCAATAGCACAGACTGACTTCCAGCCCAACCAAAGCCACAAGTGAGATTGTGTGTCGCAATCCAAGACACACAGTTGGTACTCCAAAACCCGACAATCAACTTCTAACCGCTGTGTCCAGCTCTGCTCCCGGAGTTCAATGATCTAGTGTTCAAGGCGATAACCGCCAAGCAGTATGCACCAAGCTCCACTCCTACTACCGACGATATCTACCTTGTGAGTCCAAAACAGAATAAAACCGTCAGTCGTGGTGTGTAGGAATGAGAGAGGGTAACACGGAACTTGCGAGCGGGTCTAACATCGCCTGTAAAAGAATAGGAGACAACGGATGGAACTTTGAGGTTGTATCTGCGGCCAAAATGTCTTTTGGACCACATTGCAACATACTTCATTGTAGTGTGGCCACAACTGAAACATTCGAGAGTGCAGCTGTCGATAATCATTGCTGATAAAACAGATGAGTAAGGTCTAGAATATACATAGGAAGCAACCAGGTGGCTGTGGCATCCACCCTCGGGTATTTCAAAGCTCTGTGCTTACCAGTAAAGCTACAATCCCTTGGCGCGTTGTCAGCAGAATGGTAGTCTACCGGTAATCAAGGGGTACAACGAGGCTTTGTAAAAAATACGAATTTATCCCGTAAATTTTTGTACTGTATTATCCGGGATAAGGTAAAAACATCAAGAAAAATCCATTCTTTCAGCATTTAATCGAGTAACTTCGATTGTGCATTGATTTCAATGCTTCTAGAACCTTCCATACCTTTACTTGACTGCCAGCTACGGAGGTTTGGCAAGGACGCTACTAACTTTACTACTTGGCTTTCGTTTTCTAGAAGCCGGAGGCAATCAAGCGACCTATAAATTTGGCAAAGTTCTAGGGCATTTGTACAGCGTTTTGGTGATGTTGGGTTAATACGGTTTCCTCAGACAAGGTCGTTGGACTTCTGATTTTTCTTCGGCAGGGCCAAAAGCCTTTTCAGGAAATTTTGGGTGTCTACTTCGGATTAGGGAGAAAATATGAAGATCTAACCTGTATTTGACTTCCAATTAATTAATCAACAACTCATGTAAACAACTCCATGAGCCAGAAAAGAGTTTGCTTGGAAAAGTACAACCTTCATCCGGTTTTACAGCTTAATGTTCAGTCCGTTACACTCGCACACTCATCCTCCATTTCACCTTGTGATGTCTCCGAATACTCTGAGAGTTTGGCTTCAGGTTTCTCGTAGACCATAAAAAGAACAAACAAATTTTGCATCGGAATGACCACAGCCACCAAATTGAGGACAAGTAAAACGACCAGAATTCGTGGCTCCGTGGATTTGGCCTCTCTGATAGCTGACTGTACCCACGGTGCCGCTTTCAGTGGTTGATTCTTTTCCCACATCAACTGACGGACGTTGTCCAGGAGAGTAAAGAAACAGAGCAGAAAATGCATCACTGTCGTGGTGATCAATAGGATGCTGCGGAGGTTCATTTCTCTCGCTGGCCCCAAAAATGCAACCAATCCAAGCACAGTGACTGCATAGGTCATGAGAGCCATAATGATATGGTGAGGGAGGAGAGCAGAGAGTTTCCCTACTTCAATCAGACGCACAGAGATCATCATTTGAATGGTAGCGAAAGTGCAACATAGCAGACCGGAGAGAAGAAGTGCGGCGAATGGACGTGTTCTGCACCGTGCAATTAAGTCCGAGAGGAAAGGGAACTGTTTCAACCAGTGATCTTGTTTCAAATTGGCTTTACTTGCGGCAATCAGAGCCGACTCTATGGATGGACATTCGCGCTGTTGATCACCAACACAACTCCGATTGGTTCCAAGGGGCTAGAAAAAAAATAGTACAAGACGTTGGATATACTTTATTGAAAGTATATGGACACATTTCGCTGCGATTGATTTGGAAAGATGGTCCTAATCGAAATTGATGACAAGTGTGGGCAGAATGTTTTGAAACGAATGCAGACATGAAGTAGACGATCTTTACTTCTTTGTGGTAATTTTACACCTCGAAAACCACAAACGGGCCCACAGCAACATTTGAGCAATATGCGTGTGAAAGAATGCCACAACACTTGGTTTTAAACAACAAACAGAGGAGAAGAAACGACATTATAGGGAGAAGTGTCTCACGAAATATCCATCATTGTGTATGATTCTGTCCAGTATCCGATTGCTTTTCCAACCAGGTGTGTCAACTGTCCTTGGGCCTCCAACTAGGATGTCTGGAACGCCTCCCTGTGATCAACTGCGGTACAGGCGTCTTTACACTCATCGTCATCATCATTATACACGTTAGCTAGAAGTGGAAATTACCTCAACTACTGTGTCGTAATACATAAAAGGAAAAAGGAAACAATGCAACAGATGCATGCCAGCTGAGCTACCAGTAACGGATAGGCATCGTTTCGGAAAGCTACCAACCGGTTATTCTGCAGCAAAAAAGTTTACTACACAAAATTATATTAGGATAAGAAGTGGTATCGTGGTTGGAAAGGGAGGCTAAGGGGGATGGGGTGCGACAAAGAAACTCACAACACGCACGCCATTGAGGTCAGCTCCTAGTCATGTGAGCAAGTGTATCCCGCGACACGCATTCATCATCTTTCGGACCCCAACCATGAAGCCGGGACGCTCCAACCAAAGGCAGCTTCGAAGGGAGGGCCTTCATTCCTCTTGACCAATTCATCGCTTAGCTACCTGTTCTCTTTTTCCATCCACACCCCCGGAGCACAAACAACGCAAGCAAGTCCCTTACTTCAAACTTGTGGTCACTTGGTGTTTCCGGACCGCCGGGTTGAGGTCCAAAAGACGATGAACACGTTACGTTGGATACACTAGTTTACATGGTAATGACGTTTGTCTTATGAGATTCTTTATCCCTTCCTAACCAGCCTATCTCTCCCCTACAACCATGTTCTCCGTATTAATGTATACTGTGTTACTAAGCAGTTTGTAACCTTATTTGGTGTTGTCTACTATCTAGTATCTTGCTTATTTTGTATATCTTATTATTCTCTTATTGAAGCATCTATTTCCTGATGAGCTTTTCAACAAGAACCTTAACATGATAGCATCGCACGACTTAGATTCGGAAACATTACTCTGCATATTGTCAAGTGCGTACTGCAGAGTGCGTGCAAAATTTATGTACATTGCATCGTGAACATCTGGTAGAGTTGGGATAGAAAATTCACCGAAGGGCACACACAGACGCACATACATAGATAACCACTCACACACTTGTTCGTTTGTCAATTGGCCTAATAGTAATACTACCAGAGCCAATGTGACGAATGTGTCCTTTTGTACACATTGGATGAGACCCAGTTGTTTGATGGTAAAGTTAAAATGCAAAGTGGCCAAATTGTGTGTACGAGGGAATTTCTTGGAAAAGTGCCTGAACCTGAACCGGTTTCCAGCCACTTTAAACTACTGCGCGCGCAAAGGCTACGGACGAACGCTGCGAACTTGAGGCGGCTACCTTGAGAAATTCACAGAGAAACGTAAACAACATCGCGAGTCCTACTTTTCCAAACTACCGGAAGCTGACAAACTGAACTTGGCATATTACCTAAAGTTTGTGGACTTTTGTCGTTATATGGTGCACGAGACAAAGCGAACATGGTCTGAGCGGTTCAAGAAAACATTGAACCACAAACTTTTTATCTTTTGATCCATCTAAATATGTCACCAACCTTTCATCTATCCATTTGTGAGTGGCTGTTACGAATTATGAGTGGCTGCTACCCCGAGCGGTCGCAAAAAGTGTCCTCCTGCGTTATTCGCAACGAATTCTTCGGATTTATTCTCACAGTGACCTACGTACCATTATTCGATTGGGCTCCACGAGCTACTCCTACCACTGTTTACCTTTTGAATCTGTCATTCCTCGATCAACAGCAAACTGTGCTTTTGCAATTTGGAAGTCAACCGTGCTTGAATTTTATCGGACACTTTATTTTTCCTCTCGTCGCACAAGAACTCTGGTGGTCTTATTTTAAAGATCTTTTTGAGAGTCACCCGAGCATCTCACTACCACTCCTTCTAGTCGCTGTACAAAGCGATAGTTGTCAATTTGGTCCGCCTTTTATGCAGCCACTGTCATCAATAGACTATTTTCCAAGTCGTTCTGCCTTGCCTCAATCATACGTTGCATCGCTACCTATCCACTTACCTGCTGGATCAATAGCACGCACGTCGCCTATCTACCCTTAGGAACGTGTGACTCATCTGGACACCACACGTCTGACCCCCTGACCTCAAACCAGCGCCGATCGCCGCGGAACGAAAAGTGAAGCGAATTCAGACACCCCAGTTGTAGTGTACACATCCAGTTACTCCATTTCATCTTGTTATTGGTGAATCTCTACACCATATCACACCATCTGCGGTCATTCCTACTTCGCTGCCCCATTACTGACCGTGACTACATAATTCAGTAGAATTATCCATTCTAAGCTAATGGTAAGTGAGAGATCTACGACATAGATTCTGAACTCTCCTTTTTTAGCTAATCCCTTTTGAAATTGGTACAAGTCAAACTAACAAAGTACACGCCTCAAGTAGATATGGCCCATTCGAAAATCATTGTGACCTATGTGTAAAAACGGTTAAGTCTGGTCCAGTTTGCTTTAACTGTCAAAAAGCGTGCCATTTGAAGTGTTTAGGAATGAGTATACTCGAAACTAGACAATACAGCAGCGAAACCAAAGCATTTTGGTTCTGCCAGTCGTGCAAATCCATTCCTGTAGTTAGTTGTGTAATCTTCCTAATGAAAAAGTGTGAAAAGTTGGCGGAAACAGTTGCGCAACTGGTGGACGCTCGCAAAGCAGCTGTGAAAGTAAACAACGCTATACTTGAAACTGAACGGATACTTACAAACTCCCCGTTTAGGCCGAGGAAGAGGGCCAGGCATCCCACCCCACCATCGCGTCTCAGTCTCCAACGGCCCCTAGCCTCATGACTCCACTAAGTGAAAAAGTCGTTTACAACCCACTTGCTACTACGTCCTCCAAGGGTGTAATAGCTAGTAATTCAGTTGACAAACTCGACACACAAAACTTCAGTAAGCCTACGGTAAAAAATAGCTGGACATCCTACGCAGCAGTTGCTTCTAGGAAAACGCCGTCAAAGATAACTGTGACTCCACTTACCGGAGAGGGCAAAACTGTGCCTCAACATGGATCGCTATCGCCAGTGCGGTTCACGAATCCACAAGAAACAGAAAAACCTAGTGATCTTAAGTCGCGAATCACAAGGCGGAATCATGGTGCCTTAAGTCTTGTGTGCACTAACGTTCCTGAATCCAAATCCAACACAATAAAGGGCAAACTGATAGACGATCGTAGTCAGTGGGATTCCATGTGTAGTGCCATCAGCATGTGCGCTGAACTCACTACGCTGAGCCGCATCGCAAGACAGCCAAACAACTTACACTATGGTGAACCTCGACTACTTCGAGTAACACTATATTCCGCGGAAGAAACAGAATCCATTCTGTTCGCTGCAAATCGACATCACAGAGCATCGAACGGATATTCTGTGGAAAGAACGTTCAAAGGATATGAACAATCAACAGGGAAGTAGAAAACACGCGCTGAAAACCATCATTATTCATGGCGTCCCCGAGGCTCAAGCTTCACCTCCTGAAGAAGCTCAGGCACATGACCTGGAGCAATGGCGATACATTCGTGAGGCGCTGTCTTTAGAAAGTTTCTTTTCTACCTCCCTGACCAGGATTCCCGTGTCACCAAATTAAAGGGTGTGGTCCTAGGTTGCTGAAGTTGGTCTTATCGTCTGAGCTAACTTTACAGACAGTTCTAGAGAAGTGGGGTAAATTCCGGAACATGCTACCAACAGAAATTCGAATAAAAGCAGCAAGTTTACGATCCGAGGCTACTGGTTACTCCATGGGGAGAACCAACTCAGTGGGAACAACCGTTGTTGCAGAGTCCACCACAGAGACTGATCTGACTGCCGTCATAGCACCCGTCGAGGCACTGCAGGAGGTGAGCGACCATCAGGATCATCATGAACCTGATCACACGGTGCAGAGAGTTATCCCAAGTCATTCTCGCGAGCCTAAGAGAATTCCAAAAAAAACTAGTAACAGCCGATCTCAAGAGGTTCGGCTAAGTCTCGAACCTGTTGTCTATATCCACAAGTAACCTTCTGACCTATGAATCACTCTCCTGTTTTTATACCAACGCACAAGGTCTTTTAAGCAAACTGACGGAGCTCCGCCTGCGTCAGGTCCCGATGTCAAGCGACCTCGTTATGATAACCGAGACCTGGTCAAATGAAGCGATCATTGATGCAGAAATCGCGCTACCTGGGATGTCTATTCTACGCAACGATCGATCAAGTAGAGGAAGTGGAGTAGTACTTTATTATCGCAGCGAACTACACATTAATCTCATCGATGACCCAGAGGTTCAGATTGTTGATGCGCTTTGGTGTCGTCTTCAACTTAGCTGTGGGGACGCATGTTTGTTTGGTGTGGTTTATCGCCCTCCGTCGGCTACTTTGGAAATGGACAACCGCCTAGCCTCCACAATGAAGACCATTCTCTCGCATTCGTACAGCCACATTCTACTGGTTGGCGACTTCAATATTCATACCATAGAAACCCCAGCCTGTATCAACGAACACTTCAAAATGGAAGTACAGGGGATAATCAGTGGGCTACCACTCTACAATCACATCACATCTCCCACAAGATTCAGGATGGGAAATAAACCGGGTGTCCTGGATCTTGTATTCACCAATGAAGAGCTTATGATCGAAACGGTATCGATAGAGAGTCCTTTAGACCGTAGCGATCA